CTAAAAAGAAGAAGAAGATAGTAATAAAGGGGGCAATTTTTATTTATATTTTAATTTTGTGAAAAAACGTTAGCCACAAACATTTATATACAATTTTTTAAATTTTATATTTTAAATTTTTTAATACCTACACACATTGTACTTCAATAAATTGTTTTTTAATAAATATGTTGTATAAATAATAAATAATATATCATTATAAAATGTGCGGTTTTCACCAACTAAATGAGTGCGGTTTTCACCTACCAAAAGTGTGTGGTTTTTGGGCTATAGCCCATAAGCGCAAAATATAACCCAAACGCAACCCAAAAGCGCAAAAATAAATAGCCTATAAGCATAAAAAAAATTACCTTTTTAACAACCCATAAGCGCAAATTAATTTTACAAAAAGGAAGTGTATTTTATTAAAATAATATAATTATTAAACTTTTAATGATTATAAAATTAATCAAAAAAATTGAAATTGAAATGATATATCAATAGTAGGTATAATATTATAATGAGTACCTTAAATAAATATTAATATTAAATTTAAAAATTGAAGCCAACATTTTTCAAATAGTCTAATCTGTAAATCTTTTTTTCAGTATACATGTTCATTGCATCTATATTGGAGTTGACTTTAGAGCTGCGTTTTGTAGTTTTTCGCCCATTTGATTGCATTTTTAAGTAAACTTTGGCCTTTATAACTTCGGTTGTTTAAACACTTCGATAAAATTATAAATAGATAGATATAGATTATAAAATTGATCTTTCAAATGACGGTGGTATAATTTTGGACCATTAGTAGTCCTTGGCTCATTTGAAGGTGGCTCAGCCCAGATATGTGGTGGATATCTGCTCTCATTTTCAATAAAATTTGCTAAAATATAATCAGGAAATGTTGATACCTTATCATTGTCAGGAGCAATAGAAAATAGTCCATAAAATGCATCAGATATTCCAGTGAAAGGTAAAAAAGTTAATCCAAAAAAAATACTTTAACCAATTTGAAATTTCTGATTCATTATTGTCTTATTCAATTTTAAGTCCCAATTTTCCAATTCGTCTGTACCAAGCTTGTGCTAGGTGAAACCGACGACGTTTAATTTGTGCATATGGAAAAATACACAAAATTATAAGCATTTATGATCATTATGAGCAGATAATTCAAAATCCATAAGTATATTTTGAGATATACTTATATAATAATTATTATATATATATATATATATATATAATTATATATATTAATTATATATATTAATTATGTATTAGTACATAATGTTTTTATTAAATGCCACATTTTGGCATAAATATCAATAAATATCAGTTGTTTTGGATGGCAACATACAATACACCACTTGAACATACATTTATATATGTAGAACATGAACTGTATATAAAATTACTCTTGGTTGTGAAAATTACAATTTTTGATTCTTCATCTACATGACAAAATATTTCTTTACGATGTGTAGTAATTATTAATAATCTTAAAATGTGTAACGGGCGCAATATTTCTTTTTGCGCTTTTGGTCTATCATAGAAAATAGACGATTTGCGCTTTTGGGTTTTTGGAGTCGTCAGTAATAATACCCGTATAGGTTATTTAATTTAATTAATTACTTATTTAATTAATTATTTAATTTAATTAATCAATTAATTAATGTAATAATTTATATTTAGAATACCTACTCCAAAAATGTTTAAGATAAGGCACCTAATTGTTTTTTTTGTTTAAATTGTTGATTAAAAATGTCAAATTGTCAAATTTCGTAAATTGCCTTGTTGAAATAAATAATTGCGCACAGTGGTATCTATAGGTGTAATAAGCAAATAATGATCAGCCCTCCCACAAATTTTACCAAATTTCCGCTTATGGTTTGTGGTGCGTGTACACACTGAAAACGCACTAGCTAGGACATAGCATAATACAAAAATAATAGTAATTTGTACTTATGAATGATACGATGAAATTATTACATCAACAAAAATTGACAATTCACGCCATAGACATGTATTAAACGCCATACACTGAACAATTACAAATAAAGGTTCCACTAGGGTTGCCAACCATCCCGCGTGAGGCGGGACGTCCCGTTTCCAGGGCTCAAATAATTCGTCCCGCGATGTGTATCCGCGGGACGCTAATTGTCCCGCTTTTGGTAAACCTGTATAAGTATTTTTCTATAGAAACCTTACATTCTTATTGTGCACATTTAAAACTATTTTCCATCCGAAATTCCGACAAAGTCGATTGCACGTACCGGTTTAATCAAAAATTGGTAGTATTTATAGATTCAATTCAGTATTCAGTACACAAGCACTCTTTCAAAAAGAAAAAAATTATTGTCTTATGATAGGGTCATAGACCTTATACTAGTATAAGGTCTATGAATAGGGTATTCAATTTACCCTATTTATTTGGGCAAAGTGCTTTATTTACTAATTTGTGTTAAAAAAAAACTTGTGATTATTATTTTAAAATAGCGATTATTCTGTTAATTTTTTATGAATATTTCAAATTTTAAATATTATTGATAAAAATTAGTAAAATCGTTTTCTCTTGTTTCTGTAAATTTGTAAGCATGTCCTGCTTTTTTTTGTTAAGTCCTGAATATAAATATCTGATTTTCCGCTTATCTGTAAATAAAAGTTGGTAACCCTAGTACCCACCCACTGCCGCGGTGGCGGTGGCGATATTAAAATCGCAGACCTGAACTATTGCGGCGGTAGCGGTAGCGATTTTTATCCAGTATAAACATAATATATTTATATATTACATACAATAACTGTATAGTTAATTAATTCCTGTCATTGATAAATTGACGATTTATCTTTATAGTACGTTAGTAGGTACTATATTAAGTAATTATACTATTGTATATATCATATTCATTATATATATAAATATATATAATATTGTATTGATTATTTTTATATGAATTATTTTTAATTAAATTAAATAGTATATTAAACTATAACTTAAATAGTTTCTAGGAAATAATCGAAATCTAGACTAATATACAAGCCCGGCTCAAGTGTTTATACAAACATAGGCGAAAGTTTTTGCCGCCCCTTACGTGTAAATATTTTATCAAATATTTTTTTTTTATACATAAAAATTGTCCAGGAAAAATGCCGCCTTAAGCGTGACCCTATGTCGCCTACCCCTTGAATCGGGCTTGCTAATATACACCATATATATTAGATAGTATAGGTACTATTAGCGTATATTTGATAAGTCAAATGAAAATACCGCTAAGCGGTGGCGGTAAAATCGAGCATGCTGCGGTTTTTATAAATATCGCAGTGGCAATATTTTACCGCGACTGAATTACCGCAACAGTGTGTGGACTCCCATTACAATACGTGTGTACAAATTTACGCCACCGCCGCGATGGCGGTGTGTGGGGACCAACAATTCAGGTAATCATACGCGAGACATCAGTTCTATTTCAGACTTACAGCATTGTAATAAATAAAGACTCGGTGATTCGTAGAAGACCTATTACCTATTAAATTATAATAATACGACGTATCCGCTTGGGATAATTTTAAAAATAGTATCCCAGTTGTTTACACTTGAACATTCAACATACCATACCATTCATGCACACCTGTCAATATAATATATTGCTATTGTCTTAATTTAGATAAATTTAGATTAATTAACAATATTGTATATTACTTGTGAAATTATTCCTGCGAATAATAATTTTACTATTAAACTAAAGACAAAACTGAAATAACCACAAAAATACATACAAAATTATGTCACATAAAGATTGTAAAAAAAAAATCATTCGGGTTATATCGTTTTGGGTGTTTGATTTTTTAAGGGTTTTTAGGGGTGTTGTGGGTTCGGGTTAATTCGGGTGTAAAGCCCTGTATTTTATACTAATATAATAATAACTGCAATATGCGTCATTACACAATAAATTTTATTACTATTACTTAAAATTAAACAGGGTACGACAATTTTTTGTTTTCCTGATGACAAAAAAATGCTAGTCGGTAAATAAATAAATGTGTACTGACTTGACTTTGAATTACTCAAATTAATTATATTCACTAATTTACCTTCAATCTGACTAAATCTAATGCAGAAAAATCAGGAATAAAATATTTTTTACCATCTCTAAATGGCCTACTCCTCTACTAAAAACCAACTGTGAATCTGAAACTACCAAGAACTGTTCTATTATATTGAAATAATAATTTTTAAAATGTAAGTTACTTAGAATATTATTATTTATTACACACTATTAATATATAAACTTATTGCATGTATTTAGTTCAGTTGTTAAAAGCGTCACTTACACTACTTTTAGGTATGCATTCATAATTCCTTATTATAAATACATTTTTGTTACTTATACATTAAGAGTATACCATCACAATTAATTCAACCGGGAATGGTATAACTACTACATGTCTACATTCAAAACAAACATATGTTTTGAATTCTACAAATATAAGTATAAGCAATAAATATTTTAAGCGAATTAGTGATCTGAAAAATGTTAAACTAGAGTAAGATTAAATATAGTATCTAAGATAAAAAAAAAAAATTACATTTTGTTAATAATTAATAAGTTCTAAACAAGTATATGTATAGAACATAATAGTTAGTGTGAATAATTTATATATCACAATAACAATGGAGATAATTGAGTGTACCAAGTTGGATGACAATAATAATACTTTTATTATATTAATAATAATAAAAATGTAATCAATGTAAGTATATAATTGTGAAACTAATTTTAGTATTGATAAGTGACATGCAATTCATTCAGTTGCTAAATAGTAAATAAATCTGCTAAAAAATAAAGGTTGTATAACCCTTATCATATGCAATACTCAAGCAGTGCTATTATAGTAACGTAAATAATAGTTGTTATGGTATAAATACTGACGGTGTAATGAATTTATATTTTGGAAAATGTTGTTTATCATTCGAGTATAGAATAAATAATTAGTACAGAGGAAAATTATTTTAAATAAGAAAAAACTTATGAGTTCATAAATAATATAATAATTTAAAGTATCAATAAGTGAAATCGTAATGTGAATAATAATACATAAACTTTGAGGTATCTAATGGACTAATCAGCTGCATTTATGGGTAATGTGTATTTATTGGACTTATCAATATCCCCAATTAAAGGGTCGGCAATTACAAATACTCCATCTGACTCTGAAGCACTTGCAGACATCGGATATGGCCCATCATATTCTTTCGATGAACCCCTAGCGATGTTGACCCTGTGAAAATATGTTTCATGGTGAGTATTTCAATCAGTAAAAATTAATATTTCCATCAATATTGTAAAGAAACAATCATAATTATTATATTATAAAATACAATAAATATTAAAACTATTGCAAATTCACTGAAAAGGTAAGATAATAACTGCATAATTAACTGACTGTTTTTATAGTTTAAAAAATAATATTTCATTGTAATATAGTGAATGAAATAAATTATTAAGAAGAGATTGCGAGTAAACATTTGTTTTTATAATTTTATCTTTGTTCTATGGCCATTAATAATTTTAATTTATAGATAACTATTTATAAGACTTGGGCTACTCATAATTAATGTGAACATTATAATCATTTTTTTTTTTTTTAATTAGTATTAAGTTAATATTAAAATAGTAATGTTAATCGTAAATAAAAGAATTTGAATATCCGAATTATGAACAGCATATTTATCACCTATACTAGTATCACTTTTTTCGTAAATAAATAAAAACAACATTTTAACCCATTTGAACAAGAAACGTTGTTGTAAACAAGTACAGTCATCAAGTCGAATGTAGAATGTGTATTAATAACTAATAAGTGTTAATAGCGATAGTATCGTCTTTTTGACGCGTTCAATATGTTTTGCAACGATTTTAGTGAAAGTTTGCATTTGTGTACATGCACTTTAGCGTGATATGATGTGCAACCATTATAAAACTTATAAATGTATACATTTAAAAAAAATTTAAACAGTTGATAATTTAGTTATAAATTAAAAATTAAACTAAGATTTCGAAAAATTATACAACAATAACCATACATATATATATACATATATGTGTGTGTGTGTGTGTGTGTGTGTGTGTGAGAGTTATTATCCCGCTACTGTGAATACTGTATTAGCAACAGTCCAAATTTCATACCAATTTTTCATCACCGAGATTGCTTGCTTTATTTTGACGTACAACTTCTTCAAATCGTTGGCAAGTTTTTTGATTATATCTTCCACGCCACTGTCGTCTTGTTCTTGCTTTCCGAACGGTTGTCTAAAGTTTAACGAGTTTCTGTCTTCATCATCACCGTCGTTATTTCGATTCAAAGTCCTCCACGTAGAAGCGAACCAGTCGGACGACGCGGAATCGGACTCAGTGGTATCTTGTTGGTCGGTTGTGTCGTCCGGTTCGTCGGTAACATTATTAGCAGCTGGCTTGACAAGCCGAGAAAACTCGTCAATTTCCTTCAAGAGTTCTCGGGTTTTCTCGGAATCCGAAGGATCAAACGACTTGGTTTTTGTCAGACGGTTGAACAGCATCCAGTTTTCTTCGGGTCCTACTTCATTCACATCCACGCTGTCTCTATCTGCCTTTTCGTCGGTAAATGGAGGCGGCGCCGGTGCGGCTTGGCTCGTGATGAATACCGCCAACAAGACTAATGACAACTGAAACACAAACAAAATTGTATAGTACGGTATTCACTATTATGTTATGGAAAATTTATAGTTAAATAATCGAGTACGATATATATCGAGGCGTGTGCCTATCGCAATGGAGATTCAGAATATAACGAATCTGAAGTTTGACTAAGGGATGTGCGAACTGTGATCATTTTTAAAATCTCAGAAACATTTATACTTTCTAAAATGTTCAAAGATCAATTGCACCGTTCTGCAGTTATTTTTTCATTTTTCCATGTAGTGTATTGATGAGATGATCAACGACGAAGAAAATCAAAATATAAACCCATGTACGAAATGTTTTTTGCTCTGTAGCTCTAGAAATACATTCATATAATGCCAGCTTAAAAAGAAAATAAAGGTCAATATCAAAGCTAATGACTAATTAAAATAAATCTTTATACAAAGATGATGGGTGACATTTACAACATAGCCTCGGACAACATTTTTGCGGCCTTGTAAGTGAAATATAAAATGTGTTTTTATAGAATTAATCGTCAAACATATAAATCTATACCACCTAGATATATTTGCCAATCAGCACTGTCGTCCTGATACAATATTGTAATTTAATAAGTATATACTATATAAATGTATAATAATGTATATTATATAACCTTTGGTTAAACGATTAGTCTACCTAATAATAATAATTTTATATTTATTATTTCGCATACGGTGATATTGATACTTCATCTAAAATATTTAATACTAATACGTTGCCAGTGTATTCATAAAACATAAAAAAACATAATATTAACTAAAAACTACTTGCCGATTTCCGTATAATATCATACAATAGTTGTCAAACCTCGGAATATTCGAGAGTATAAAAAATTACCAGTTTTATTATTTAACGATAAAGTCTGACACATCATACCGTCGTGCTTTTTCGGTGAAGGACGTCCACTTCGGCTAGGTAGTTGTACTTATCTACTTAAGCCGTATATACGGTATAAATACGTGTATTTGCTATTTATTTCAATTAGAAACGCCTTAATTTTATAATTATTGTTATTTGTTGGTTATAGTTATTTAAAATCATACACAGAGTTAAATGTACTTACCTATATTGTGCAATGTGTATATATGTACAAATTATACAATAATTATTAAATTAGATTTAAAAATGATATTACTTAATTAACTTAATAAATAGGTACTCAAAAAATATTTATCTTCCGATCAGTGGCAGCGCCAGGATTTTTTGCTAGGTAGGGCCAACGGGAAGCCAACAATTATAAGATAGGGCCAACAAAAATGAGATTTCAACAAAAGATAAATACTATTATTTAATATTTTCTGCTTATGAAAAATGACTAATTATGTCTAAGGTCAGGCCATGGCCCTACCTGGCCCATCCCTAGCGCCGCCAATGCTTCCGATACTCGCATATGTTAATTAGATTGTATCCCATCGTTGACACATTCGAACTACATTGCGTTGTATTTATACGAACATAACCCAACAATACATAACGTGATTTTATATTTGATACAATTTATAGTTTAACGAGTGGCGTTTCATTTTGTGAAATTCAAAAAAATCACATTTTTTACTATTATTATTTACTATACGTGTATTTCTATAAGCAATTGCTAAAAAAATAAAAATATATTATACTATTGATTATATAATATTATAAAAAATGATGAAACTAATAATAATACCTAAGTTTTTTACATATCTAGTAGTATAAAATAAATGTATTTAGTAAGAAATTCTTCGTTGTATACAGTTTTCCAAATTAAAATCTAGAAAATATTGATATTCACGTCTCCTTTTCCCCCGATTCGATTATGTGATTTACCGAAAGACAAAACAAATACAGAACAAGGGCGTACCCAAGGGGGTACGGGTTCCTGGTTTTCGGGTCCCTGGACCCCCCCACCCTATTAAAATTTCTACATACCCAATGATTTAATAGTAAATAGTATAATAGTATATAGTGTATTTTAATTTCCCATTATCAGATAAAATAAAAATGTTGAACCCTCCCCCCATAAAAAAATTCCTGGGTACGCTCCTGATGCAGATAGGATATATTTCAAAAAAATAATACATTTATTTTATCTTTGAATTAAGACCGTTGAATTTAATATCATCAACGTGAAAACATTTATAAAAACAGATATATTATAAAAACTAACACGTCTAAGTGTCAAGAACGTTCGAAGTGCCTACGTTATTACAATACAGATATCCAAATATAATCGGTATAACTAATTTCACTGTACTTATACTTCTATAGTCCTTAAAATCGGTTATTCCGTAAATAATAATATCGGATATTTCATTTTATTACAATTTATAGGTACTTAAAAATAATTATCAAGTTTTACTTTTCCTATGAACTAGTAAATAATCAATATATCAATATAAATAGCATAATATATGAATAATATAACTAAAATACATTCTTCACTTCACACAGAATCTAAAAAAATAGACTCATCCTGCAATTTATTATTCATATGGTTTTTTTTTTTTTGAATAAACAAAATCAAATGTATAAATTGAAAATGTTCCAAAATATGGATAAAAAATGAAGTTGTATTGCTTCAAATTTCTGAGAAAATTGAAATGAAACTATAAAGTGCCAAATAATAAAGTATAATATTTTAATATTTCATTTAAACTCCACTAAATAATATTCATAACATTTATATTAAAATGGTAGCGTATAGAATATCTAATTGGAAATTTAAATTTTTTTTTCAAATCAGTAATATGATATTGAAATTTTACATATCGATTTTAACTGGATTACAAACAGTGCCATCGTTAGCGAGCAAGTAACTTAGGCGATTGCCAAGGGCATCACACTTAAAATAAATTCGGGGCCCATAGTTTGTCAAGTTAGAATAGTTAAGTATATTTAGGTCTAAGGAAATTGTACTGCATTTGCCTAAGGCCTCGCAAAAGCTTACGGCGGCACTGATTACGAATTATGATAATAATTATAATAGAGAGTACAATGGAGTGATATAATTTTTTTACATAATAATAAAAAAGATTTTGTTCCAAATAAAATATAAAAACTTAATTTAACGTATTATGTAAAAATACATTAGTTTGATTTAAAAACTATAAAGATAAACAAAACATACAACAAAATGCTAATTACTTATGATATTATCTAATATTTAATTAAATATGATTTTCAAAAAAATTAAATAATATAAATATTAATATAATGATGCTTTGAATCTGATTCAACAAATATTAAATAAAATAAATGTAGTTTATTTCTGTGCAAGAAAATATTATCAAAAAACACGTCTCAAAAGTACAAATATTATATATTAAATAATATATATATTATATGACGAATAGTTAATGTATTATTTTACTGTGTGATATTTATAACTTATTTTAGTTTTTTTTAAAGAATAAGTTATTTTAGTAATTATTTTATAAATGGAATTTTAATTATTTCATATTGAATTCAACAATTCCATATCATCCGAAAAATTTGATATAATTTTTAATAACGTTATTAATAATACATGACAATAATTAATTGTCTATAACTATTCAAAAAATATACTATACAAACATAACGATAGCAATGATTTAATATTAGATATTTACTATAAATTATACTAAAATACGTTTCTTAAACATTTAATCAAACATACCATAATAATTTTCATTTTTCTGTGTGGAAGTGGTTTTGCGTCTAAGCTCGCTAGAGGACTGAACAAGACCGACGACTCAGTACTGGTCTTAGTACCCAAAATCCTATAAAAAGAAGACCTTGAACGGTTATCTATTGAATTATTGTCTTCGCGCACTATTAAAATCGGATGCTCTCGATTAAACACAACGAATCTTCTGGAAAAGAAAAAATGTTTAAGTAACCAAAAAAAATTATATAATAACGATTTGATGCACATTACACGGTTTGGCTTTTTGGAGTATAATGCGGTGGCGGCAGGATGACTACAGAAATTTGTCGATATTTAAACCTTGAAATGCAAACATTTTTCAGGTAAACTAAATGAATCTGATTATCTTTCTCTCTCACTTCGTAGTATCCGATCTGGATTTCAATGTCATCTGGTTTTTTCTTTTACAATATTGTACGATGATTTACAACGTTCATATTATTAAATATTTAACTCCTGATGCGAAGTAAAAATATTAATTAATAATATATTAACAACATTGAAAAATATGAGTCTGTGACAACACGGTAAGAATAATTAATGAAAATTGAACAAACTGAATTATTAACTAGGTATGTAATATAGACAATGATCTAATACTTTATTATTTTATTAGTACAATTCACGTGACGTTTCAAGCAACAAGACACTCGATATTATTATATATATATACCATATATTTTCAATGTTATTATAAATTTATAAAGGCTGTATGTAAGTGACGATGAATATTACTTGTTTATGAACTGCTAATATCATCATACATATTGTAAATATTAAATTAAATAAATATATTCCTACAAGGTATATTATAACTGTTAAAATAACTTGTGTCTTATAATATTGTATTTATGTATACTAATATAATTAATATTGTTTACATGTTGTTCACCTAACAAGTAATATTTCGTCGTTCTTTTTTTTGTGCTAATTTATCAATTTCAATTTCAAGGTTGCTGATGAAAAGGATATATATATTTAAGGGCAAATTTAATATTTAAATATATCTTTATTATAATTATTTATAATATTATGCCACAAACAACAGATTATTTATTAGTAATAAGGCTTTATATATATTAGTTTTTGAAGAACATATTTTTTTTGTATTTTACTAATTTTTATTAAAACTAAAATGAATAATTTATTGAAAAATATAAACTATAATAATTTATATTCTTTATAACAACATTTAACTTAAAAGTAACAATTATAAATAGATTAGCACATAGAAATTTAGTTATAATAGTTATCTACCTATAGTATAGGTATAGATCCTATACCAATATAAAACCAATAAACTACCAATAAAATTAACTATACTTAGACAAAATGTAATTCAAACGTTTAAAATTATATCTAATTAATTTAATAACAATGAATACGGTAAAATAAATTTGGGTCATGGAGTACATCAGCGGTTCCCACACTGTGCACCGCAGTGCTCTAGGGACACTGCGAGCACTTTCTAAGGGCACAGTGGTCTACGGTTCATAACAAATAGTTTAAAATGTTTAAATTTTTTTTTCTTATTGTTTTCGTAAAAATGTTATAGCAAATAATGAAATATTTTCTATTGTATATTCGGAAATTCTCATTTTAACCTTATATTTTTATGTAATAATTATAATAATGATAACAATAATTTTATTTATTTAATTTTTAGGTTTATAAATTCATTAATTTATAATTAAGTTAAATTTTAATAAATTAATAAAATTAGTTATCAAAGAGTACTTTTTTTTTGTCTTGTTTTTCAAGTTATTAACAACAGAGCAACGTGGCTAAATTGAGTCCAAAAAAAGGCATCGCGGAAAACAAAAATAGGGAACCGCTGGAGAACATAATACCTAAATCTATTGAATGGTAAAAAAAAATTACAAAATATAATCAATCACAAAAATATTAATGATAATAAAATATTGTGAAAATATAAAATATTAAAAAAAAATATAGGTACAGAATACTATGACTAATCTAATAAAATAAATTAATACATAATTAAATAAATTAGGGAGACTCAGTCAAATTGATATCAAACTAAGGTATCATGCTTAATTACGATCTACAATAAACATGAGTCATACAGTAAACAACTTAATGATCATATATCTGCTTGCAAATATTAACTATCTCTTATGTTATTTGTTTAAATTTAAAATTTAAAACATAATAATAGAATACAAGATCACCAGCTACTATGTTACTTAGTATGGACAAATTAGTCATTTTTACTCATAAATCGTTAATATTTATCACTTATATTATTTCACGCTCTACACAATAAATAATTTTTTAATAACTGTTTAATGCAACCCTGATATTTTAATTATGAAAACTTCCATATGACTATATAGTTTTTCTTAATAATTGTTCTTCGTAAAAGTTATATATTTAATTTACGCTAAGAATACTTATTTCACATCAATAATTAGTCTAATTTTGATAACTCAAATTATTACTATCGGTCCATTTAAAACTGTATTATTATTAACCGAATATAATTTTTGGAGATTTTTATTCTTCACATCTCCAACTCGAAACTCATTTTTAATAATAGCACAAATAGGTCTTAATTTAAAAAAAAAAAAACTAGGAAATCAGTACAACCCCTTAATCCCCTCTGCGTGCGCCACTGGCCACGAGTACCTTTTTTTACTGTAAACTCCACCAGAAAAATAAAACAGGTAAAATTGGTTTCATGAAAATTCCGACACTAAAAAAAAATCAGGTAAAATTGAATACATGTAAACTCCGCCAGTGAAGAAAATCGAGTAGTAATATAAAATTAATATGATATATTATTAAAAGTAATACGTAATAAGTAATAATAAGTGAATATTATTATTATAATATTATATATCATACCTCCATTTTATTTCACCAGTCACATATTTTATATTTTGGTTATATTTGTAGTTGTTAAATAAAACCAATAAATTGCCTCGTTGACCAGTAATTAATTGTATATTATTACTTTGTTGTAAATAAAATATACACGGAGACACGCAGACTACGAATGATTATGTTCGTCAAAGTATATTTTACGTATACCATACCTACTGCCGATATCATCATTAGAAATACTAATTTCAGATAATATGAAGATAAAATTAATGAATCAATTAAATTAATCAATGAGGAAATATATCCACCTTGAAATAAATCAAACCAAGACAATAGTTTTATCAATTTCGACATACATCATTGCAATAGATGTCAACGTATTTAATGTGAGCACTGAGCAGGTAAACAAAAAAAAAACTGGAGTTTACATATACGTTACAGGTAAGAAAAAACTGACGGAGTTTACACTAGACCTTTTATTATCTTTTTTCTTAACCGATATTCTAGCGGAGTTTACAATCGCCCATATGGAATATACATTCAGGATTTACCCAGTTTGGGACGACTAAACACCATATTATTTAAAAATCAAAATGAAAGGGGCCAGTTCGGGACCACTGATTTTTCTTAGGGCACTAAGCCCCCTAAGCTCCCCTCCCTTGACGACGTGCCTGCTTTACATGTATAACCATGTAAAATAGCATTCAAATAAAACACAGACTAAAAATTATTTAATCAAAACAAGTATGAACGCGGCTAGTTCAACAGTAACATCTTTATTAGTATTTTATATTTTTCTTTATTTCGAAAAAATGGTTAAATAACTCAAAAAAATCACTAAGAAACCATTATCGATTTAAAAATTTTTATTAAAAAAATAATAAACATCACTACTTAAACAACATATTCTAAATTCCAGACACTACACAAAAACTAAAATATACGAGTACTATGGAGTTTTCATTAAATTGTATTTTATGAATTATTTTTTCTATTATCCATAAATTAAAGTTACCAACACGGCGGGCGTAACGGATAGGCAAAAGAGGTACATGTCTGTAATGAGGGATAGTATTCAATTTTTTTTTGTGAATATTAGATATTACTTAGTTTTTTTTGTATAACAGTATATAATTTTTATCGTTTTATTAAGAATTATTTACAATAATCTATCTTCTGCTTTTAAATATTTTAAAATACTAAGAAATTAAGCTATTTCAATATTATAGGTGATCAAATTCTATAAACATGGTGAATAATCATAATTCAATCATAACATATTATATATATATATATATATATATATATATATACTGTCATTACATGAATTAGTTTTTACCAAACAATTAAATTGATGAAAACTATGGTTCATTTTTTTAAAAAGAAGGAATTCAATGTACACCATAAAGATATCTACAATCTATACAAGATATGTAAAAAAAAAGAATAGCCATAAAAATTATTACAAATTTTTCATAATATTCTGAATCTAGAAAATATATTAAAACTTTGTTTAATAAATGTTAATAAGCGCGAAAAATATTTAGTTTAATTTTAATTTTAATCAATTTTTTTTGTCTCTTTGTATATTGATTCCTTAGTTTTGTTTCGTAAGACTTTTTTAGTTGAAACATTTGCAACAAAACTTAAACAATAGTAAAGGATAAAAAAATGTAACATTAGCATTTATCTATATTTTCAAGTCATAAAACAAATAATTATTAATTTCGTTAAGAATTTATAATTGCCAGTTGAAATGATATACTATTTCTCTAACGACGAAACTAAAAATAAATAAATAAATAATAGTAAATATTCAATAAAAAAATAATTTCTCTATAAGGACATAAATTCTTTGTGCAGTTTTACTACCAATAATTAAATTATTCACTTAATTTATTAATGGCATGTCTAACATTAATATTATATTTGAAAATATAAATAATATGATTGTTAATATAACATCAATACACTTACACGCAATCATGATAATAATGAGGGATTAAGTTAAAGTTCATAAATTTAATATAATGTTTTAATCAATTACCATCAATAAAAACTATTAATCAAAGACTCATAAACCAATGTAAAATTATACTTCCTTGAAAACTATTTTGTTTTTGTTTAAATTGATGAATATTAGTTATTATTAACAATTAATTAAGAAAGTAATTTTTTTAATTTTATAACTGATTGGTCAACAACTAATGATACATATTGAGTTCCTCTTAATGTAATCACTGGTTTATAGAATCAACTGTCTATTGGAATCAAAAAAGAAAATCCCAAATCAAATTATATGTTACTAATATTAAGTTGACCTTTTATTTGAATCACTATGTACCGGATAATTGAATAACTTTTATAAACATTTTTACTTTTTTTGTGGTATTTCAAAGTGATTAATTGAGAAGAATTATTTTTGT